TTATACTTTTTATGTAAATTGATGAAAAGGTTTTTTAAATAGAGTACCAAATAAAAAATTAACAAAAACTACTTTTGAAGCATAATCATGAATTTCTTTAACTCTGCTGGAGGTATTTGTTAATGTTATATTTTGAGCTCATAGGTAATGTTCACACGTTTAATTATTATTATTGTAAAATTGTATTATTATTGTTATTGTACAATATCAAGATTTACACATTTAATTAGTATAAATATATTTATCTATATATAAAACATTTATTGTAAAATTTGAACATATATACTGACGTTAGCAATATCCAAACTTTGGCTTTCCTTTGCATTATTTAATTTGGTAAAATGCAGTGGCACTGAACTTGAAAATTTGCATTTTTTTGTTAAGTGCAGTGACACAAAACTTTGAATATGTAACATATATCAAGGCCAGTGCACTGGCATTAATTCTTGCTTGCTAGACACAACAAAGAATTTGGTTGCATAATATATGCTGAGCTTGTACTTTGGGCAAGAAAACGGTAAAGGAAAAGAATAAAATCTAGATATTGTTGTTGTAATAATTTGTAATAATTTAGTATTTAAGGCAAAATTTAATTTAATACAAATCAGATTGAAATCAATATTCGATCTCTTTAATTCAAAATTTTAGAGTTTCAGTTCAAGTGCTGGAAACTCAGCTTTACAATCAGGAGTTACAGTTTAAGTGCTGTCAACTCATTTTCTTAAGTGTTATTTCATTAACATTTAATTTGGTGACCCCGACGTGATTATCAGGTGAATCGCTTGATAATTCATCACGAATTTGACTTAAAGGTGTCCTACGATCACATCAACAGAGGCTTTGGTGTCAGCATCAAAAGAGGACAATGAACACGAATTTGGCGTAAAGGTGTCCTACGATCACGTCAATACAGGCTTTGGTGTCAGCATCAACAGAGGACAAATAAAACATTTTTAGTTTCACAAGGTGTGAAATTGGCTGTTAATCAACAAATCAACTAACTGGATAATGGGTTTCAGTTCGCTAGTGGATCGCCAAAAGGCATTGAGCGACAAAATCAAACAATTTATTGGTAATTGCAAAAAGGCTGGAAAACCTCGCAGAACTTTTCAATTCTATACACACAAGATTCAAGAATTGCAAAGGTTGGGGACGAATATCATGAAAATCATCAGGAAATCATGGCTTCAGTGGACAAGGTTGACGACCATGAATACTTGGTGAACAAAGAGTATTAGAGCATTCTTAAAATGATTGTCGATTACAACAAGGTTCTAGAAATTGAAGCAATAGAGCTAGAAAAATTATCTTCAGCACGCAATGGCACATCAATTGAGCAAAATAATCAGATAAATGATTCAAACATTCGGAAACTATTCCGAAATCAGAAGGCACTCGTACGTGTAATTGAAAGAACGATAGAAGGAATCATGGTCAACAGGCAAGTTGAACAATCATCTACATACTATTCTATAAAGGCAGCCAGTCTTGAAGGATATATGGTCGATTTTACGGCAAATAACACACCGTTATGGGAAGCTACCGACGAAAGCATCATTGAGGACTACACACTGGAAATGTTTTATGAACTCGAGGAAAAGGCAGGAGCTGCCATGATCGAACTGCAGCAACATTTGCATAATAATCAGACAATTCGCAACTCAAGACAGACAGATTGCGAATTGCCTCTACCAAGAATATCACTACCAAAATTTGATGGAAACTATATGCGGTGGGTGGAATTCAAGGACTTGTATATGGAATTGGTCCACAACATGGACACCAGTGACAGCAAAAAAATGCATTATCTGACTACATCATTGGATAACGAGCCAAAGGGGCTAATTAGACATCTTCCAGTAGTAAGAGAAAATTACAATATAATCTGGACTTTACTTACAAGTCGTTATGAAAATAAACGACTTCTGGTTACAACACTTCTAAATAAATTAATGGGACAATCCTCCATTAAAAGGGAGTCGGCACCAGCATTAAAATCTCTACACGATGTAAGCAAGGAATGCATACATGGTCTCAAGGCTCAAGGAGTTCCAGTCGAACATTGGGATGTTATACTGGTACATCTATTGCTGCGCAAGCTGGATGCAGAAACTCTAACAGCTTTCGAACAAGGGCTAACAGACAACAAACGTTTAATAACCATTGATGAATTGCTAAAATTTTTGGAACATAGATTTCAATCACTTGAGGCTAGGGGAAAAGGAGATTCATCAGTCACTCGAACGTGTGCTTCAGCTACAAAATTTGGTTTAAGTAAAACCTGTCCAATTTGCAATAAAGACGGTCACATGGTCTACGCTTGCAAAAAATTCGAGACGGCTAATCTATCACAACGATGGAATTGGGTTAAGGAGTTCAATTTGTGTGTGAACTGCCTCAGGATTGGACATCGAGTTGATGAGTGTAAATTCAGGCACTGCACTAAATGTTCTAAAAAACATAACACTTTGATGCATAATCCAAAGGGGAATCAATACACAAAAGGTACTGTTCTTCAAGGAAATAACTCAACGCCTCAACAAACAGCTCAAGCTTCAGTTTCAAACCAATCATCAAATAAAATAACCCTTTTAACAAACAATACCAATAACGAATCTAATTATGCCTTATTAGGGACGGCCAGAATAAGATTGCTGGCATCAAACGGAAGACAAATTGAATGCAGAGCAGTATTGGACTCTGGATCTCAAATCAATCTCATAACAAACCGCCTGTCAAAAAAATTGGGCTGCAAGCCTAAGCCAACGCTTATGAGTGTGGAAGGCGTAGGAGCAAATGAATCAAAAATACGTCATCAAACAATAATCCGAGTACAATCAACGTTGAACGAATTTGTAGCAGAGATGGATGCACATATCATACCAAAAATCGTTTCAGATCAGCCAATGCAGTATTTGAATATCGAATTCTGGGATATTCCAAAGAAATTAACTCTCGCTGATCAAGATTTTAACAAACCTGGCCGAATAGATTGCCTGTTAGGAGCAGAGATCTTTTTCAAGTTACTTATTGAAGGTCAAATAAAACTAGCAGGTAGTCTTCCAACACTTCAGAATTCTATTTTTGGATGGGTTTTAGCTGGCAATGTTGAAACTTTAAATTCAAGCACGGCAACTTGTGGCATATGCACTACTAAGGAACTAGAAGAATCTATATTGAAATTCTGGGAATCAGAGGAAATTCCAGATTCAACTTCGGAACTCACAGAAGACGAATTGCGTCTTCAGTACACAAATTATGAGGGCCATCACTAAATGACATAATGTTTAATGGTCCAAAAGTTCAAGACGAACTGTTTTCGATTTTGCTCAGATTTAGAATGCACAAATATGTTTTAAAAACTGATGTGGAAAAAATGTAGCGTCAAATATGGGTTAACAAAGATGATCGAAATCTGCAACTCATAATGTGGTGAGAAAATCCCACAGAACCACTTAATTATTATCAGTTGAACACAGTTAATTATAGCACAAGAGCAGCGCCATATTTAGCAACACGCTGTCTAACAAAATTGGAGGATGAATATCAAGGAAATTATTTATATGGCGCCACATCTTTAAAAAAGGATTTTTATGTTGACGACGGTCTCATAGGAGCTGAGACCATCAACGAAGCGTTACTAATTCAACAACAATTAATAACAATTCTAGACAAGGCTGGAATGAAACTAAAAAAATGGTGTGCAAACAACTCAAAACTTTTACATGGAATCGCTCCAAAAGATCAAGAAGTAAATGTCAATTTTGATTCCAAGGAAACCCAATTCACAAAGACGTTGGGTGTTTTATGGTTACCAAAGTCGGATTCATTTCGTATCAAGGTTAACATTTTAGAGCATAGTCACACAACAAAACGATCTATGAGCTCCGATTTGGCACACATATATGACCCCTTGGGTCTTATTGGTCCACTCTTGGTCATCGGCAAAATTTTGTTGCAAGGAACATGGCAGCTAAAACTCGATTGGGATGATGATCTTCCGTCAGAAATACGCAAACAATGGACATCGTATAGAGAAGATCTGGCCTTGTTGGACAATGCAACAGTTGTGAGGCACGTATTCAGCAGTCAAGGCTACAGCCATGTTGAGCTGCATGCTTTTTGTGACGCCTCAGAAAGGGCTTATGGTGCAGCAGTATACATTAGAACAGTACAAAAGGATAAAACGATAAAACTTAATCTACTATGCTCCAGATCTCGTATAGCACCCATAAAATCTCAAACAATTCCACGACTAGAATTGTGTGCAGCGTTGCTAGCAGCAGAACTCATGGGAAGAGTTAAACTTGATTTAGGCTATCAAGACAAAGCAGCTTACTTTTGGACAGATTCACAAATTGTGCTTTCCTGGATAAACAATCATCCAGGCAAATTACTTGTTTACGTCGCCCACCGAATTGTAAAAATCCTTCGGTTAACAATTCCAGAACAATGGCGTCACGTCCCGTCAAAACAAAATCCGGCAGATATCCTGTCAAGAGGGCTTAAACCGCGGGAATTTTCATCTTCCTTCATGTGGTTATATGGTCCACTATTTTTATATCAGCCAAAGCCGTTGTGGTCAGCTCCCTTCAAAAGGGAATTAATTGTTGAAGATAACACGGTGGTGTTCGCTTTATCAACACAACAACCTACTAATGAGCATGCATGGGTCTACTTAATTCATTCAAGAAATTTATTTACACATGTCCAAAAAGTTGTTGGATATGTACTTCGTTTCACAAAAAACGCACGGAAACCAAAAGAATCAAAACCAGAGACCATGCAGCTTTCACCGATGGAGCTCGACGTAGCACTTAAGGTAATAATACGTCAAATCCAGGCCTCCGATTTTTCTGATCTGAGGAAAATGCTAGTTAAGGACGAATTTGTGCCAAAAACTCATAACCTCAGTTCTCTAACTCCGTTCGTAGATGAAGAAGGGGTAATACGTGTTGGCGGACGGCTAAGCTCTTCTGCAATTTAATTCCATTCATCAAATGATTTTACCAAGCAACGATCCACTAGTAAAGTTGCTGGTAGAAAAAATACATAAAGACAATTATCATTGTGGCGGCCAAGCATTGCTGGCACAAGTGAGGCAGCGTTTTTGGCCCCTCAAAGGAAAAAGCTTGATGAGAGCTGTAATACAACAATGCTTAAGATGCAGAAGAGCAAGTCCAATTGTGTACAATCAAATCATGGGAAATTTGCCTGGACACCGTGTGCAACCAGCTCGACCATTTCTCAGCACTAGAGTTGATTATTGTGGCTCAATATGGGTTCATTACAAAACAAGAGGCAAGCGTCCACAAAAGGCGTATATCGCTGTCGTTTGCTGTTTTGCAACCAACATCGTACACTTAGAACTTGTGACTGATCTGACCACAGATGCATTCATTGGAGCATTAAAACGCTTCATAGCAAGACGAGGACGCTGTAAAACATTATACTGCGACAATGCGACCAACTTCGTTGGAGCGAAAAACAAGTTGCAGGAACTGACTGACGTCATCAACGCTGATCGAGCGAGGGAATCAATTGCAGGAATGTGCAGTACGAAAGGCATAGAATTTCACTTCATTCCACCAAGGTCACCACACTTCGGCGGGTTATGGGAGACAGCAGTAAAATGTGCCAAATATTTGCTGGTCAAAAATGTTTCAACAGCATCACTTACATATGAAGAGCTTGAAACTGTCGTTATTGAAGTTGAAGCAGTGTTGTACTCATCAGATGCAAACGATTTGAACGGAATAACTCCAGGTCATTTTTTTATAGGTGAAGAAATCACTTCAAACGTTGATGTGCGTACACGTGACTCTAAAGAAAAATTACTTAAACGCTGGCAACTGGTATCAGAACTAAAACACAGTTTTTGGCAGCGCTGAACTAAGGAGTATCTAAGCGAATTGCAACAGCGCCACAAGTGGAAGGGTCCAATCACCAACATACAGACCAATACGACGGTAATCCTTAAAGAAGACAATGTCCCAGTTCTGCAATGGCCTTTGGGACGCATCATCAAGGTTTACAAAGGCGAAGATGGTTTAGTGAGAGTTTGTGACATTCAAACAAAAAAGGGAGTATTTAAAAGACCGGTGCATAAATTAGCTCCATTATTTCCTGAAGACGATAAATTAGAAGATCCAACCTTTGGAAAAATTACTGAAAGAAAAATCGAATCAGAACAGACTCAAGAAACTCCAAGGTCACCTCCCGTGTCGCTTATCGTAAGCATTCCATTAAATCGTATCAGAAAACCTGAATCATTAGTCAATGGGATAACTCCAACAAAACGATCATGTCTGAACCCTGGGTTGCTGCTCACCATTATTACTCTACTCAGTTTGCCACTTGCACTATGTAG